CCGCAGCCACTAACCGTGATCGCAGGAATAATATAACCAACAAAGCGAAGCAGCAACCTGCGTGCTCAGATCAGTAGCCATAGTGAAACCTATCACTGGACCGCATAACGCATTTGCAAGTGAGACTAAAACCAGATTGCATTCATATCGTTGGCAAATCACCCACAAAGCGATTAGGAAACAGCCTCTCATCGGTCGGCACTAATTCATCTTCTTCACACATTCCTTGCCAAGAGCTTCTGACATCTAAGATGCTATATGTACGTACATCAATGCTCACGGCCTAATAAGTAAACTTTACGAATTGCGACTCTATTAGAGATAAAGGGATTGTGACATCCTAGCTACAAGTTGCACATAGTTAGGTCTTGACATAACTGAGATCGAGGTCGTGCTGCCAAGTATGTCTATCGTTTGACACGACCAACCAGTAATTTGGAAGAGGTGGCGCCGTACTTTCGCAATTATCACCAATGTGAGCCCATGGAGGATTCAAACATTATGGTACAGGACTCCGTTTGATGTCGTTTACGTTCAAGTGGCGGACGTTTATCGTAATTCTTCCTCCACGCCTGAGATGTAGTTCAGTCTGGCGTCCGCTCTGATGAAGGCCATCATAATGAGGGACGGCCACGCTCTTTTCACTAACAAATTCAACATTCACGCTATGGAATCTTAAGTCACTCTAGAGAACAATTCAAATCAGATCTGCCAGAGCTTATCGCACACTTTCCGCTGTATGGTCAAGTCATCACTCAGATCAGATCCAAAGAGACAGAGAGATCACCTATACTCATGATCATCATCATCATTATACACTTTACCTGCAGGTGGAACACACCTCAGCTATTGTGTCGCAATACAAAAGAAAACACGAAACAAACAACAGTGACAGGCCGGCTGAGTCCTGTGTAACTGATGGACATCGTTCCGGAGAGCCAATAGCCGGCTATCGTGTCGCAAAAAGTTGTGTTATGCCTTACGAATGCGATTGGCATTGGAGGGCGAGGCTAAGCAGGAGGGGCTTGGATAAAGGAACTCACAACACAAACACCATTGGGGCCGGCTCCATAGCTGCAAGTGTGTCCAACCAAACGTGCTCATCGTCCTTAGGACCCCAGCCAAGCAGTCGGGATGCACCAACCGACGCCAACTTCGCAGTGAGGGTTTTCATTTCTCTCGACCAAGTCATCGTTTGGCCTCCCTTCTTCTTCCAAGCATACCCCCGGCGAGCAAATAATGCACGTCGCGGGAGTCAGTGTGCTGGCATGCGCAACACGTGGCCAAGCCTTCGGAGCCTTTTGCGTGATATAGTGTTGCTGAGCGGTTCACTAACTTTTCTTGCACCAAATACGCGAGGCCGAACACACTCACGCAACACAACTCACGCATGACTCAAACGGAGCTCGCACCAGACATGAGCTAAGCTGCGAAGGCAGCGATGATCAAAGTTGGCTAGCCTCTTTATGTCTGTTGACCTGATGGGCTAGCTTACACAACCGTATAAGTGAGTTGGACGGATGGCGGAATTATAAACTCCATCCTCCAGGGCGCGAGTGCTGTCGCGTCTGCGCACCAGCTGGAGGAGATTGGCAAAGCACATCAAGCTTTTGCTATACGGTTTGTAATAGCCTTGAGCCCACGGGTGCTAATATAGCTGTTTCGGTACGTGAATTCCTGAACGACTTCTAGCAGATCACCACCAAGCGTTAGCGCAGGGTTAGGTCCCTGCCAATCTTGGAGAAATACCTTGCATTTCGATGGAATAAAGCACAGTCTAGAACAATTGACAGCCAGTGCTTATCGCTCCAGCGCAGCCTAGCAAGTTTGGACGCTGTCACACATGAGGGCAATGTCATCCGCGTGCTCTAACTCAAGTAGTCGCTCACCAGGAAGCAGCTCTACATCTACTAGGTCGTGTCCAGCGAACGCTATTTCCATGACTCCGTCAATAGCGAAGTTAAAGAGAAAGGTAACAGCGGGCGAGCTTGTCTCACACCGCCGGAAATACTGGAGGGCGGCAACCGTTTGCCATAAACCCACACTCTGCCCGAACTATGCGCGTACAGCGCTTTGATAATTTTTACATATTTATCAACAGACAGTCCTAAAGTGCACATCACTCCACCAAATTGGAGATACCTTTGATGTCGGGAAACACGACAACGGTGGGTCGCCAATATATGTAACGGTGCTCCAACAATAGATGTAACGGGAAGATGTGGCCGATGCAACCTCAAATTCGACGAAACCCGGCTTGCTCTTCACGAATCTGGCCTTCACGAGAACCAGTCAGTCTGCAGAGAACGACAGAGGTAAGCAATTTAGAGGGAATTGTGATTAGACTGATCACTCTATGGTTGCCAAATTCCGAACGGGAGCCTCCCTTGAAAATTGGGACTAGTACGGAGTGGCTCCAGTTTGTCGGGACAGTTTCCTGCTCCCTAACTTCCATTAGCAACTCTTGTAAATCATCCACAAGAGCAGGTCCGTCGAATTTGTAAGGAGTTGGGAGAATTTTATCCGCACCAGCGGCCTTATGCAATTTCAAAAATCTGATCTCATGTTCGACTTCTGCGCGTGAGGGCAGATCTAAGGAAACGGCTTCTGGAGAAGGGCACTCAATGCCTGAAAGAGAAAGCGCTGACTCAGATTAATTAAAATGCCTTTGCAGTGTGTTCGGCCCAATGCTCTGAGCGTTTTGCCAAGGTATCCATGGGCTGTCCCCTTTTGTCGCGTATTGTCGCCTTAACACCAATCTACTGCTGCCTATTCCCCGTATCAGACGGAATAATTCACGACGGTTACCAACGGTAGCGGCTGTTTCCATTTTCGACGCACGATGAAACCACCAGGCTTCGCGGTCTCACTTCAGGCTAGCACGCATTCTGCCCTGAGATTTTTGGGAGTCACAGTGTATTCGCTTCCAGCCGGAATACGTCGGCGAGCATCCATAAGTTCCAGAGACCTTGTAGAGACCCAATGTCCAGTTTGACAATTTTATTTGCAATATGAAGACATGCCTGCAGATAGTAACGTTTGACGAATATGCAACTAGTGATCATCGACGAAGTTCAGTGGACGTTTACCCAGCACAGATGCCAGTTTAGTTTGATACGCATTCAGAACACCTAGCTACGCCAGCTGGCTGGTGTCAGTGAGCCCAGATTGACGTTGTGGAAGTCGGGCGACACGTACCCACAGATCAACATACACAAAAGCCTGATCGGAGTCCATGCTGGTGCTCCAAATCGAACGACAGTGTTGGACGCATCCTCTCCAGCGGTAACTAATCACGATGTGGTCGATTTGCGTCCATGTCTGGCCCGAGGCTGATGGCCGCCAAGTCACTCTTCTGCGTGTGCTGTGTCGAAAGTTAGTTCTCGCGAGAAAGAGGCGCTCCTCTTCACACAGCTGTAGCAATCGCTCACCATTATCATTACGGGAGCCTACACCATGTTGGCCGCCCAGATGAAGCTCCTCAGAGGACAATTTTTCGACTTTGTCGTTCAGTTCGTCAGCCAACACCACAGTATCCGTGCTTCTTCTGTAACGAAGGAGCTCGTGAAGTTGCTGATAGAAATCATCTTTTACCGAATCAGTGCTACAGTTTGTAGGGGCGTAAGCCGCAATGACAAACAGGCACCGTTTGTCCCCGCGCGACTTCGTAGCACGGAACGAACCACCTAATCTAACGGCGCACATCCTACTGTTTACTGGAATCAAATCGATAAGGGCAGCTTCAGCCCGGGGACTCAAAACAATGCCGACGCCAGCTTGACCGGCGTTTGAAGCTGCATCATCGTCAGACAGGTGCAATGAGAATGTGCCGCCGGTGTCACATGTGGGGGATCGCAGGGTAACCTCGGAGCTCGAACCTTGCAGGCACGTTTCTGATAAACGGCAAATGTCGATCGATAGGGTCTCTAGTGTGCGGGCAAGTGCTGCCTGTTGGCCAATCTGTAGCAAAGTGCGCACGTTGAGACGTACCAGTCTTAGCGAGACTCGAGGACTCCAAAGGGAAACGGATGAACTGACGTTGTCCGCTTGGTTAAACATGCACTTGTCGACTGGACTGGAACGACGCCCTGTGACTGTGTGTGATTTGAAACAAGAAGACAAACGATTATTGAATCAAGCTGGGGGAGGGCCAAGGATTAGGGGATTGAAAATCGGGGGATAAAAGTAAAGTTGGAACGGGACGATAAGGATGAAATTGAGCAAGAAGAGGCATAAGAGGACGCGAAGGCCTGAGCAGTAGCATCCAAACCCCTATCCACCCTGCTCGATGCAGCAGATAGGGCGCCGTTTATTATCCTCTGCGACGGCCAGAGTACCAAGAAATTGTTTGATGAAGGGTTCACTGTATTGCGTGGGCAGAATACTGTCAGGTTGCCCAGGCCTAGACAGGAGAACGATTAGGGTTCTCAATCAAAGCCTTTGGTTCAAAAACCTTACCGCAAGGCAGCGGGTTTTGGCACTGGACTACAGAGCCCGTTTTATGAAATGAGGAGCCACCGACTCCCTCGACGTGCGTTGTTTGCTCACCGGGGATGTGGGTGGAAGAAGAGGAGGGGTGGCCAAGCGATGACTTGGTCCAGAGGAATGAAGGCCCTCACTTCTGAGCTGGCCTCAGTTGGAGCTTCACGGCTCCCTGGTTGGGGTCCAAAAGACGGTGAACACGTTTGGCTGGATACACTTGCTGATATGGCAAGGAGCCAACCTCAGTGGCGTTCGTGCTGTGAGTTTCTTTGTCCCTCCCCATCCCTTTAGCCTCCCCCTCCATCTACGATCTTATTTCGTAGGGTAAAACGTAATTAAATTTTGTTTTTGCCTAGTAGTCGGCTAGTAGCTTACCGGAACGATGCGTATCTGTTGCTGGTAGCTCAGCTGGCATTCAACTGTCGTATTTATTTTTCCTTTATGTATTGTATGTATGTATGTATTTCCTTTATGTATTGCGGTACAGTAGCGGAGGTGTTTTACCATCTCTAGCTGACATGTATAATGATGATGATGATGATGATGATGATGATGATGATGATGATGATGATGATGATGATGATGATGATGATGATGATGATGATGATGATGATGATGATGATGATGATGATGATGATGATGATGATGATGATGATGATGATGATGATGATGATGATGATGATGATGATGATGATGATGATGATGATGATGATGATGATGATGATGATGATGATGATGATGATGATGATGATGATGATGATGATGATGATGATGATGATGATGATGATGATGATGATGATGATGATGATGATGATGATGATGATGATGATGATGATGATGATGATGATGATGATGATGATGATGATGATGATGATGATGATGATGATGATGATGATGATGATGATGATGATGATGATGATGATGATGATGATGATGATGATGATGATGATGATGATGATGATGATGATGATGATGATGATGATGATGATGATGATGATGATGATGATGATGATGATGATGATGATGATGATGATGATGATGATGATGATGATGATGATGATGATGATGATGATGATGATGATGCTGATGATGATGATGATGATGATGATGATGATGATGATGATGATGATGATGATGATGATGATGATGATGATGATGATGATGATGATGATGATGATGCTGATGATGATGATGATGATGATGATGATGATGATGATGATGATGATGCTGATTGATGCATGTGCCCACTACTTGGTATTTTGTCAGCGAATCCCTTTCATAAATGCATGCACCATT